GGCCAAGTCGTTGTGATTGCGAGGGGAAGGGGTTGTTGAACGTACTGCTGTTTGATGCGGCGGATAACTGAGAGGAGTCCGTACGGTGTTGAGTCCTGGCCACGTTGTTGTGCCTATACTAAGCATTGCGGGGCTTGTGGAGTGGCTCCGCGTATTCGCTATCCACGAGGTGGTTTGTTTAAGCGTCGCGRCACTCTGCATAAATTAGGAATAGGGCATAGGGGGAGTAACCTGCTTGAGATGCAGCCACTCAAGGCTGCGTAGCATCAGGTCGCTCAGAGGGRGTAACATTACGACTTCTGGGGGAAGGTGTAACGTAAGGGAAAAGTTTGGTTTGCAAAGGGGGCTGTTGCCCTAGCTTGGAGGAGTGACTGCAAAAGGGGACTATCGTTGAGGTTAAGGAAGTCTGCCAAGAGAGTCTGTTTCAGCAGTCAGACTTCAGGAGTTGACTATGTCGTTGTATCATAGTCATCCTTGAGGGGCCCTCAGGCGCATCCAGATAACGAGGCCCTCTCCCGTGAGCTGAGAGCACCCCTCTTGCATCTGAGAGTCTCAAATCTATCTCTTTCTGCCCTTCTAAGTCTAAGTCTAGTCCCTGGTTACGAGAGGAAGGCGGCAGGCAGGATTGCAACCCRTAGGTCCKCGTCAAGACTCTGTGGGSAGTCCACCCACCGATTGCGGGAGCTCTGCCGGAACTCAGGAGTTCTAGAGGCAGGGAACCTTCATGTAAATCACCTTTATTTGTATAACCCACTACTACCCATGTTTGTTTATCTCCCTGCAATATGATTATTGTATGCATGTGTGTCCCTATGATTTTTGCTTTCTCTTCAGGACTAACCAGATCAAAAGGAAAGGAATGTATGAGAGTGAAGCATAAGTTTCAGTTTATTTTTGTCCGAAAGCAGACTAAGGCATGAATTGGGGGAAGGTAGCTTTGCATGTGCTTGACAGGGTCAACCAAAACCCCTGAGCATTGTTTYCGTGGTGAATGGCTCAGGGCTGTGTTTATTTGGCTGTTTTTTGAAGGAYCAGGCATTGTTTCCATGGTGAATGGCCTGGTTGCTATGTTTATTTAGCTGTTTTCTGAGGGGCCAGACATTGTTTCCATGGYGAATGGCCTGGTTACTCTGCTTATTTMTGAGGGYTTGCCTGATGAAAGGGGTTTGAGTTCTTATTTTATTATGAGGGAGAATTTTCAGGTCTAAGKTTAAGCATTGTTTCTAAGGTGAATGGTYTAGCCTGAAAACCACGCCGATAAATTTAAACTGAGTATAAAGGTAAATACTTTATATATATTTGCATGTGAACTGACAGTTGGGCATTGTTTCCATGGTGAATGGTCCAGCGTTAAGTCATATCATGAAGGAGAGAAAAGRAAAAATACAAAGTATAAATGRAAATAGTCTGGGCAARCTGAACATTGTTTCTAATGTRAATGGTTCGGTCCCCTGCCCATATTTGTCTTTTCTTTTGAAAACRAAGTCAGARAAATACTAAATTTTATATATTAAACAGCACAGGGCARCYAGGCATTGTTTYCATGGCGAATGACCTAGTCATCTACCCAAAAGAAGAGAGAAGTAGTTGTGCAACCTRTTCGTGTATATCWTAAASACWAGTTGGGSATTGTTTCCATGGCGAATGRTCCARCTCTATGTCTTATGTAAGATGGGTATAAGGATTCAAGGACTTGAAGATTCATGAACTGTTTATATGGAATAAACTTGGGTTGGTGAGAGTATTTAACTTTGTGGTTTGGTTTGCATGTGACTGAGTGAGATGACTATTTTGTTTGKATTTCAGTATTATTGGTAGTTGYTTTAGATGCTCGCCATGTGCTGGAGCGATAGGAGTTAGTTCAATTCCTGCATTTTCTGAGCTAAGTTTTTTTACTTAGATCAATTCTCGCATTTTCTGGGATCATTTTTTATACTTGGCTTTGTATAAATCTTGACAAGCTACTTTCTCTACGGGAAGCGCTGCCGAAATTTCTACAAATCCAAGGACTTAGTCAATTCTTGACTTGTCAAAGTTCAACTTGTATTTTCTTATATCTGACCT